TCGGGGCACAACAAGTTTGGGCTCGGGGCACAACAAGTTTGGGCTCGGGGCACAACAAGTTTGGGCTCGGGGCACAACAAGGTTGGGCTCGGGGCACAACAAGTTTGGGCTCGGGGCACAACAAGTTTGGGCTCGGGGCACAACAAGTTTGGGCTCGGGGCACAACAAGTTTGGGCTCGGGGCACAACAAGTTTGGGCTCGGGGCACAACAAGTTTGGGCTCGGGGCACAACAAGTTTGGGCTCGGGGCACAACAAGTTTGGGCTCGGGGCACAACAAGTTTGGGCTCGGGGCACAACAAGTTTGGGCTCGGGACACAACAAGTTTGGGCTCGGGGCACAACAAGTTTGGGCTCGGGGCACAACAAGTTTGGGCTCGGGGCACAACAAGTTTGGAGCTTGAGCTCGGGGCACAACAAGTTTGGGCTCGGGGCACAACAAGTTTGGGCTCGGGGCACAACAAGTTTGGGCTCGGGGCACAACAAGTTTGGGCTCGGGGCACAACAAGTTTGGGCTCGGGGCACAACAAGTTTGGGCTCGGGGCACAACAAGTTTGGGCTCGGGGCACAACAAGTTTGGGCTCGGGGCACAACAAGTTTGGGCTCGGGGCACAACAAGTTTGGGCTCGGGGCACAACAAGTTTGGGCTCGGGGCACAACAAGTTTGGGCTCGGGGCACAACAAGTTTGGGCTCGGGGCACAACAAGGTTGGGCTCTGGGCACAACAAGTTTGGGCTCTGGGCACAACAAGTTTGGGCTCGGGGCACAACAAGTTTGGGCTCGGGGCACAACAAGTTTGGGCTCGGGGCACAACAAGTTTGGGCTCGGGGCACAACAAGGTTGGGCTCGGGGCACAACAAGGTTGGGCTCGGGGCACAACAAGTTTGGGCTCGGGGCACAACAAGTTTGGGCTCGGGGCACAACAAGTTTGGGCTCGGGGCACAACAAGTTTGGGCTCGGGGCACAACAAGTTTGGGCTCGGGGCACAACAAGTTTGGGCTCGGGGCACAACAAGTTTGGGCTCGGGGCACAACAAGCTTGGGCTCGGGGTACAACAAGTTTGGGCTCGGGGCACAAGTTTGGGCTCGGGGCACAACAAGTTTGGGCTCGGGGCACAACAAGTTTGGGCTCGGGGCACAACAAGCTTGGGCTCGGGGCACAACAAGTTTGGGCTCGGGGCACAACAAGTTTGGGCTCGGGGCACAACAAGTTTGGGCTCGGGGCACAACAAGCTTGGGCTCGGGGCACAACAAGGTTGGGCTCGGGGCACAACAAGTTTGGGCTCGTGGGCTCGGGGCACAACAAGTTTGGGCTCGGGGCACAACAAGTTTGGGCTCGGGGCACAACAAGTTTGGGCTCGGGGCACAACAAGTTTGGGCTCGGGGCACAACAAGTTTGGGCTCGGGGCACAACAAGTTTGGGCTCGGGGCACAACAAGTTTGGGCTCGGGGCACAACAAGTTTGGGCTCGGGGCACAACAAGTTTGGGCTCGGGGCACAACAAGTTTGGGCTCGGGGCACAACAAGTTTGGGCTCTGGGCACAACAAGTTTGGGCTCTGGGCACAACAAGTTTGGGCTCGGGGCACAACAAGTTTGGGCTCGGGGCACAACAAGTTTGGGCTCGGGGCACAACAAGTTTGGGCTCGGGGCACAACAAGGTTGGGCTCGGGGCACAACAAGGTTGGGCTCGGGGCACAACAAGTTTGGGCTCGGGGCACAACAAGTTTGGGCTCGGGGCACAACAAGTTTGGGCTCGGGGCACAACAAGTTTGGGCTCGGGGCACAACAAGTTTGGGCTCGGGGCACAACAAGTTTGGGCTCGGGGCACAACAAGTTTGGGCTCGGGGCACAACAAGCTTGGGCTCGGGGTACAACAAGTTTGGGCTCGGGGCACAACAAGTTTGGGCTCGGGGCACAACAAGTTTGGGCTCGGGGCACAACAAGTTTGGGCTCGGGGCACAACAAGCTTGGGCTCGGGGCACAACAAGTTTGGGCTCGGGGCACAACAAGTTTGGGCTCGGGGCACAACAAGTTTGGGCTCGGGGCACAACAAGCTTGGGCTCGGGGCACAACAAGGTTGGGCTCGGGGCACAACAAGTTTGGGCTCGTGGGCTCGGGGCACAACAAGTTTGGGCTCGGGGCACAACAAGTTTGGGCTCGGGGCACAACAAGTTTGGGCTCGGGGCACAACAAGTTTGGGCTCGGGGCACAACAAGTTTGGGCTCGGGGCACAACAAGTTTGGGCTCGGGGCACAACAAGTTTGGGCTCGGGGCACAACAAGTTTGGGCTCGGGGCACAACAAGCTTGGGCTCGGGGCACAACAAGTTTGGGCTCGGGGCACAACAAGTTTGGGCTCGGGGCACAACAAGTTTGGGCTCGGGGCACAACAAGTTTGGGCTCGGGGCACAACAAGGTTGGGCTCGGGGCACAACAAGTTTGGGCTCGGGGCACAACAAGTTTGGGCTCGGGGCACAACAAGTTTGGGCTCGGGGCACAACAAGTTTGGGCTCTGGGCACAACAAGTTTGGGCTCGGGGCACAACAAGTTTGGGCTCGGGGCACAACAAGGTTGGGCTCGGGGCACAACAAGGTTGGGCTTTGCCATTCTGAATGGCCCATTCACTTGGGGTCACCACCGCATGGATGCGCATCCCCTCCACCAACAGGCAGCATGCAGCAGGCAGCAGCGCAGCAGGCAGCAGGCAGCAGGCAGCAGGGCAGGGAAAAGGGGACTCACTAGCAGGATCTCAGTGGTGAGGCGGTGCGCTGACCCCATGTGCAGCAGCCCCACGCCCACCAGTGCTGCCGTCTGCACCAGAGAAAGGAGGGGTGCAGAGAGAAAAGGAGCAGCAGGTGGTGGATGGATCATAATGGACATTGAGGTCGGGAAGAGAGGATCACAATGGTGGAGAGAAAATGGATGATGGGGGACGAGATAGGTGACGTACCTGAATGGAGGGAGGGAGCTCGAGGTCGGGGAAGGACGGAGGGTGGCGCGATGGGATGTGCAGATAGAGCATCTGGTGGTGGGAGGGGTGGGTGCAGGGGGGCGGGGAGAGGGAGAATAGAGGAGACTAGTGATTCACACAGGGGAAAGAAGAAAGAGAAAGGCGCATCGTGAAGATTCATGGGAGGTTGAGGAGCGCTGAGGGTGTGTGGATGGGAGGGGAAACGAGTCCGCAACACAATGCATGGCATGAGAAGGCATGAAGGAGGAACGCTGTTGGGAAGAGATTTGCACATGGCAGCACATCTTGCACATGGCAGCACATCTTGCACATGGCAGCACATCTTGCACATGGCAGCACATCTTGCACATGGCAGCACATCTTGCACATGGCAGCACATCTTGCACATGGCATGGCAGCACGCGTCACGTTGCAGATAGTGGCATCCATGGTGGAGCGATACGTTGCAGATAGTGGCATCCATGGTGGAGCGATACGTTGCAGATAGTGGCATCCATGGTGGAGCGGTACGTTGCAGATAGTGGCATCCATGGTGGAGCGGTACGATGCAGATAGTGGCATCCATGGTGGAGCGGTACGATACAGATAGTGGCATCCATGGTGGAGCGATACGTTGCAGATAGTGGCATCCATGGTGGAGCGGTACGATGCAGATAGTGGCATCCATGGTGGAGCGGTACGATACAGATAGTGGCATCCATGGTGGAGCGATACGTTGCAGATAGTGGCATCCATGGTGGAGCGGTACGTTGCAGAAAGTGGCATCCATGGTGGAGCGGTACGATGCAGATAGTGGCATCCATGGTGGAGCGATACGTTGCAGATAGTGGCATCCATGGTGGAGCGGTACGATGCAGATAGTGGCATCCATGGTGGAGCGGTACGATACAGATAGTGGCATCCATGGTGGAGCGATACGTTGCAGATAGTGGCATCCATGGTGGAGCGGTACGTTGCAGATAGTGGCATCCATGGTGGAGCGGTACGATGCAGATAGTGGCATCCATGGTGGAGCGGTACGATGCAGATAGTGGCATCCATGGTGGAGCGGTACGTTGCAGATAGTGGCATCCATGGTGGAGCGGTACGATGCAGATAGTGGCATCCATGGTGGAGCGGTACGATGCAGATAGTGGCATCCATGGTGGAGCGGTACGATGCAGATAGTGGCATCCATGGTGGAGCGGTACGTTGCAGATAGTGGCATCCATGGTGGAGCGGTACGATGCAGATAGTGGCATCCATGGTGGAGCGATACGTTGCAGATAGTGGCATCCATGGTGGAGCGGTACGTTGCAGAAAGTGGCATCCATGGTGGAGCGGTACGATGCAGATAGTGGCATCCATGGTGGAGCGGTACGATACAGATAGTGGCATCCATGGTGGAGCGATACGTTGCAGATAGTGGCATCCATGGTGGAGCGGTACGTTGCAGATAGTGGCATCCATGGTGGAGCGGTACGATGCAGATAGTGGCATCCATGGTGGAGCGGTACGATGCAGATAGTGGCATCCATGGTGGAGCGGTACGATACAGATAGTGGCATCCATGGTGGAGCGATACGTTGCAGATAGTGGCATCCATGGTGGAGCGGTACGTTGCAGATAGTGGCATCTATGGTGGAGCGGTACGATGCAGATAGTGGCATCCATGGTGGAGCGGTACGATGCAGATAGTGGCATCCATGGTGGAGCGGTACGTTGCAGATAGTGGCATCCATGGTGGAGCGGTACGATGCAGATAGTGGCATCCATGGTGGAGCGGTACGATGCAGATAGTGGCATCCATGGTGGAGCGGTACGATGCAGATAGTGGCATCCATGGTGGAGCGGTACGATGCAGATAGTGGCATCCATGGTGGAGCGGTACGATGCAGATAGTGGCATCCATGGTGGAGCGGTACGTTGCAGATAGTGGCATCCATGGTGTGGAGCAGTACGATGCAGATAGTGGCATCCATGGTGGAGCGGTACGATGCAGCGGCACCCAACAGGATGACATGACATGACATAACAAGGCATGACGAGAGAACGCTATTGGAAAGAGATGAAGCACCTTGCACACGGCATGACAGCACCCCTCACCTTGCACACGGCATGACAGCACCTGTCACTCACCTTGCACACGGCATGACAGCACCTGTCACTCACCTTGCACACGGCATGACAGCACCTGTCACTCACCTTGCAGATATTGGCGTCCATGGTAGCGCGGTACGACGCAGCAGCGCCCAGCAGCACGCCCACCGTCGTCGCCTCGTGCTCCTGGGGGAAGGGAAAGGGGCGTGGGAGGGAGAAACAGGTGGGAGGAAGGGGATCGCAGATGAGCGGGACCACTAGTGTGAGTGAGACATGATGCAAAGAAGCTGAATCGGCCAACAATGTCAGGGTGCAGCAGAGAGAAGCGGGAACACGTCGCAGAGATGTTGGGGAGGTGTGCAGTAAATGGCCCACAGACCGAATAAAATTCCAGTCTGTTGAACCGAGGCCCACGTGGCATCACGTGGACTACAGCCACACCATCAGAGCAGGGGGGGAGGCAGCGAAACCCACGAGGGCAAGGTCGCGGAAGAAGTCGGTGGGGGCGAGCACACGCAGGTGGCCGCGCAGCCCCAGCGCCATGAGCAACCCCCCGTGTGCACTCGAGGCCTCCCCTGGCCGGTTGTACACCACCCATGCCCGTGTGACTGTGCCCGGCTGGTAAGGGTTGGAAGGGGAGAGGCAGGGGCAGGGATGGCAGGGATGGGCAGGGATGGGCAGGGATGGGCAGGGATGGGCAGGGATGGGCAGGGATGGGCAGGGATGGGCAGGGATGGGCAGGGATGGGCAGGGATGGGCAGGGATGGGCAGGGATGGGCAGGGATGGGCAGGGATGGGCAGGGATGGGCAGGGATGGGCAAGGATGGGCAGGGATGGGCAGGGATGGGCAGGGATGGGCAGGGATGGGCAGGGATGGGCAGGGATGGGCAGGGATGGGCAGGGATGGGCAGGGATGGGCAGGGATGGAGCTTTTGAGTCGACTCAACAGAGCAGCACCACGCCGTGTCCACTGCTTGCCTCCACTGGCCGGTTGTACACCACCCATACCCGCGTCACCGCGTCTGGCTGTGAGGGAGGGGGTAAGCGAGAGAGGCACGGGTGGGGATGAATGCTTGTAACGAGGATAAGTTGCGGAGGGATGGAATGTGAAAAAGGGATGTGAGGTGTCAGCGGGCTGTGCGAGTTGAGGGCGAGCGTTGAGGGGACGGGGGCATGGCAGCTGGCGATCACATGAGCAGGACAACAGCACGGGCACACCAGTAGGAGAGAGAGCCGGCGAGGTGAGGTGCGGTGAGGTGATGTGAGGTGATGTGAGGTGATGTGAGGTGAGGTGATGTGAGGTGAGGTGAGGTGATGTGAGGTGAGGTGAGGTGATGTGAGGTCATGTGAGGTCATGTGAGGTGATGTGAGGTGATGTGAGGTGATGTGAGGTGATGTGAGGTGAGGTGAGGTGAGGTGAGGTGATGTGATGTGAGGTGAGGTGAGGTGATGTGAGGTCACTCACGGGCACACAGGCGAGCTTGAGGCCGGCTGCCACTCCATTGTGGAACTCCGGCCACGTGGCGAGCTCTGATAGGTTGCCCAGCGTGCCGTCCAGCCCCACCTGGAGGAGAGAGCGAGTGAGGCACAATGGCGGGCGGGGAGAGGGGTCGAGGAGGACGGTGCTAAGCTGCCGCAGCAGGCAGGGAAGCAGGCTTCAACGTAACAGCCAACACTTGAGGTGCACAGAGATGACGACTTCAAAGAGAGGCGTCATCATCTTGGTTGCATGAGAGGTGGCGGCGGCATGAGAGGGTGATGGCAGCGACTCTGCTCTATTCCCGCATGCCCAGCTGCACTGCACCCACCGTGGCGTCGTTCTGCGCCGTCAAGCGCCCCGCCAGCACCAGCTTGGGGACCGACAGGGCCTGCAGGGGGTTAGAAGCAGCAGGCACACAGGCAGATAGGCAGCCATGCAAACAGGAAGAGAGGCAGAGGCACAGACATTATTGTGAAAAAAAGAAGTTGGTGGTTGGGATCTCGGCCAGGATAATTGGTCCGCACCAATATACTAAGTTGGATGAATCAGTGGGGGGTTTGGTCTGAGGGAGTCAAAATATTTGGCCCCTGAATAGTTTACCAACCCTTTTGGGCAGAACAGTTCAACTCCCCGACCCAACTACGGTGAAACCTAACTGTACACCCAAACGAAGTGCCTAAACCTGCACAAGAATCGTAGTATATGCAGGATAAAATAATCATTAGCTTCTGACAAAGTGCCCATGCCATAGAAATAAATCGGTGGGGTAGGGTGCAGTGCGGGAATCAGGCGCAAGGCAGGTGGCCTGGGTGAGGGCGGGGCAAGGCAGGGCAGCAGGCGTGCCTGGGTGAGGGTGGGTGGGGCGGTGGCGAAGGTAAAGGCAGCGCGGCCCAGCGGTAGCGCCACCGTGCGATGCGCCACCTGCCATAGCCGCGCCTGATGGGGGGAAGTAGCGTGAAGTGGCATAGGGATGATGCGATGAGCAGCAAATGATGGCGGGAGAGGGGGAAGTGGGGGAGTAGTGGGCGACATGAATGGGCATGGGCAGAAAGGAAAGGGGTGGTGATATCGAGCATGACACTTTCCACGCTGCTGATGCCAAGGCAAGGAGGAAAGGGGGACGAGTGGACCTCACTAGCTTCACTACGAGGGGCACCTGGTGGGCGGCAAAGGGCACCTGGTGGGCGGTGAGGGGCACCTGGTGGGCGGCGAGGGCGTCGGGGTCGGTGGAATCAGAAGCAGCGGCGGCCGGCAGGGGCACTGGGCGCGCAGAGCACAGCAGGCGACGCACCTGGTGAGGAAGGGGAGGGAAAGGGAGAGGGGGACGAGGCAGGTTGAGAGGTGCCGCAGTGTGGGCTGAGTGAGAGTGCAGGCAGAGAGGTGGCGAGGAAGGCGAGGCAGTGGGATAGGAGGATGCAAGGAGACGGGGTCACGAATGACCATCCACAGTGACATCTCTGGCACCCACGTTGCCCACACAGTGCTGTGCTCCACTTGAGTGAGGCTCACATGCTAGCGTGCCCCACCCACGTGTGCTTCCCCCCCTCTTGACCCATGCAGGGCTCACCTCAGCAAGACGAAGGTCACAGGGGAAGCGCAGGGCGAGCAGGGAGCGGGTGGGCGGCAGCAGCAGATGCTCCATGCCGTCCGCCACCATGCCCTCTCCCCCTGCGCCCTCCACTCCCGCCCCTCCCCCTCCCACCCCAGTCGCGTCCGATGCCCCCCCCACCCCCACTCCGCTGCCCGCCCCCGCCCCCATGCCCCCCACGCCCATCCCTGAGGCGGAGGCAAGGCCTTGAGAGGCGTGGGATCCAGGGAGGGCGAGAGAGGGGTGCAGGGCGGAGTGGGGGGACGAGGGGAAGGGGGAGAGTGGGCGCACGAGCACAGTGGGAGGGAAGGAGAAGGCGAGAGGCGAAAGGGAGTGTGGGGAAAGGGGCGGTGCAGTGGTGCGCGGTGGCGCGCTTGCGGTGATGGTGGCTTCCTTAGCGCTGCTGAGATGCGAGTGAGGGGAGGGGCAGCGAGGCAGCGGCGAGTGGTGGAGGGAGAAGCAGTGCAGGCAGGCGGTGGCGGTGGCAGCCAGGTCGTCTCTCCCCACCAACACGTATGCCGCTGCTGGCCAGCCTGGGGGAGGGTTTTCCCTGCACACGTGCAGTGCCTGCAACAGGGGTAGGCAGGGGTGGAGTGCGGTGGGGTGGGTGGGGGAAGCGAGTGTGAGAATTGAACCGATGAGTTGATTAGGAATGATGAGGGCTTACATAGTTGGAGCTAAGGAAAAGGGGGGTGGTTGGTACCTAGCCAACATTATTGGCCCCCACCAATAAGTTGGGTTGGAGAATTATTGGGGGGTCCCAATAATGTTGGTCAAAGTGGGCCAACATTATTGGGGGGGCCAATAATCCTCCAACCCAACCTTGGGGTCCAATAATTGGGTCAAGGTTGGGTTCCAACCCCCACCTAGGGTTAACCCTAGGTGTGCACCCAAACATTGTTTGGGTGCCTATCTCTATCCTAGGGTTTATAGGACCAATGCAGGATACAGAAGAGTAGTATAATCTAACACAACCCCTTAGCCTGCAGAGATCCTTAAACCAGGATGAGATAAGACAGCAACCCCTGAATCAGTCACCATGGGGGGCAAGGCCCAGGAGGGGCAAGATTGCCGAGTGAGTAGCACGGTCGAGGGCCTTAGTGAAAACGTCGACGGGGTTGGAGGATGAGTCGATCTTGCGCAAGGTGATGTGGCCATCCTGGACAAGGTCGCGGACGAAGTAGTGTCGGAGCTCGATATGCTTGGAGCGACCATGGAAGACAGCTTCTTTGGTGAGGTGGATGGTGCTAGCGTTGTCACACCAGAGGGTGGGACATGGTTGTGGTGAGCCAAGGTCTGTGAGGAGATAGCTGAGCCAGCGTGCTTCTTGTGCCGCCATCGTGACCGCGTATAGTTCGGCTTCGCAGGAGGAGAGGGCGATGGAGGAGGAACGGGTGGAGCGCCAGCTGATGAGGCCGCTCCCAAGGGAGAAACCATATCCCTGTGAGCTGCGACGGTCAGGTTGTGAATCTGCCCAGGACGAGTCGCTGAAGCCAGTGAGAACCGGCGGGTCCGCTCCACCAAGGGTGAGAGAGTAATTCTTCGTATGCTGAAGGTAGCGTAGGACACGCCGGGCCGCCGTCATGTGTTCCTCCGTGTGCCTGCCGACAACAACGAACCGCGCCAGAACACTTACTGGGTAGGCAAGGTCGGGGCGGGTGCGGACCATGGCATACATCAGGGCCCCGACAAGCTCTGCATAGGGGTTCGAGGAGTCGGTGGGGGTGGCACGGGGCGAGAGCTGATGCCCAACTGCAAGCGGAGTGGCGATGGGCTTGGCTTTGGACATTCCAAACCTCTCAAGGACCTTCTCAATGTAGAAGGACTGAGAGAGGGAGATAGTCTTAGCCTTGAGGTCGCGAGTGATCTCCATGCCAAGGTAGTTGCGGACCTCCCCCAGGTCTTTGTAGGCAAGGCGACGCTGTAGTTCGTCCTTGACCTCCTGCATCTCAGCATCTGTGTCGGCAGCTAGTAGCATGTCGTCGACATAAACAAGAATGTAGAAAGGGGACGGAGCCGTCCGAAGGAAGAGGCTAGAGGCAGCTCGGGAGGGGCGAAAACCAAGCTCGCGAAGGGTGGAAGAGAGCTTGGCATGCCACTCTCGGGGTGCCTGCTTGAGGCCGTAGACAGGCCGCAGCAGCTTCCAAACGGTGGACGGGTCATGTGGAGCGTGAAAGCCTTTGGGGCGTTCCATGAAGATGAGTTCGTGTAGGTCGCCTTGGAGGAAGGCGGTAGTGACATCCATGGAGTGCAGCAGCATGCCGCGTCTGCCGACGAAGTCGAGGAACACCCGAACGACCGGTGGGGTAGGAGTGGGTGAGTATGTTTCAAAGAAGTCAGAGCCGTGCTTCTGTGTGAAGCCCTTCGCCACATAGCGAGCTTTGTAGACAGGGTATTTGCCAGGGAGAAGCTTGACACGGAAGAGCCATTTGCCTTTGACGACATTGGTCTTGGCAGGGCGAGGGACGTCGATGAAGGAGCGGTTGTGGATGAAGGCGTTGCTCTCCTTGACCATGGCTTCAATCCAGAGCGGTGCGTCGAGGCACGCAATAGCCTCCTCATACGTGGTGGGTTTGAAGATGGTGGGGGTGCCCGAGAAAAGAAGAACTGGAGTGCCCGCCATGGTGCGGACGATGGGGGCGATGGAGGGCGCGAGGAGGTGGAGGAAGAGGAGTTCGTCGTGGGTGTCTTCATAGAGGAGAGGAGAGAGAGGAGGAGGTAGAGGGGGTGGTGAAGATGCAAGACAGCTGCGCTGGAGGTCGAATCTGAGACATGGAAGTGCTGCTGCTCGGCTGCGTGGTGGTGCAGTCAGGAGCGCGGAGCGGTTGCGCAGTGGATCTGGAGTGAGGGGGCTGAAGCGGGGGGGGAGGGGAGTACCGGTGAGGGCGAGGAGGGAGGGGGGGGAAGTCTGTGGGGAACCAAGGATGGGGTGGGGTCTAGGGAGCGGGTGTGGGGATAGCGGGGAAGGACAAGGGTAGGGGAGGGGCGCCGGGGAAGGGGGGGGGGAGGTGGAGGGGGGGGGCGGATTAGAGGAGGGGAGGGGGGAGGGAGGGGAAGGGGGCGAGGGAGGTGGAGTAGGGGGAGGAGGAGGAGGAAGGTGAGTTGCAGCGGAAGGTGAGGTAGTGGAGTGGGAGGGGGAGGGGGGGGGTGGGTTAAGGATGTCGCCGGAGGAGCTGGAGGAGAGGGGAGCGGGGGGGAGGGGTGGAGGAGGGGGGGGAGGGGTCATGGCAGGGGACAGGAGGAGGGGCAGTGTGTCAGTCCAGAAAAGGGGCCGGGGAAATGGGGGAAGGGGGTTGGGGGCGGAGGAAGAGGTGTAGTACGGGGTGGCCTCGTCAAAGACCACGTCCCGACTACGGATGAGGCGGCCTGAGGGGGGGTGGAGGAAAAGGTAGTCAGGTGAGGTGGTGTTGTGTCCAAGGTAGACACAGGGGAGAGTGCGAGACGCAAGCTTTCTACGTGCGCGTGGGCGATCGGCAGGGTGTATGAGGACATACGCCTTGCAACCCCACACGCGCAGAGGGGATATGTCAGGCTTGCTGGAGGTCCATAGTTCGGTGGGGGTGGAGGTGGGACGAGAGGGGTGGGGGTAGAGGTTAGTGAGGATGGCAGCGTGAAGGATGGCATAGCCCCAAAGAGAAGGCGTGAAGGATGGCATAGCCCCAAAGAGAAGGCGTGAATGAGGAGGCACCGAGCAGTTTTGGTGATCTCCCGAACGCGGCTCTCCGCCACACCATTCTGCTGAGGGGAGTGAGGGAGAGTGTAGGTGTGGAGGATGCCGTGAGAGGTGCAGTAGGAGGACAGGGTGCGGTTGAGGAACTCACCACCTCCATCGGAATGGAAGCGGCGAACAGGGCGACCGAAGTGGTTGCGTGCTTATTCACCCCAGGCAGTGATGGCAGCCGGGGCCTCCGCCTTCGTACGAAGGAGGGTGACGGAGGAGTATCGACTGTGATCATCCACCAGGATGAGGAGGTAGCGATGTCCTTGCCTGGTGGGGGAAGGGTTGGGGCCCCAAAGGTCCATGTGGACGAGGTCAAGGGGTTGGAGGGAAAAAGAGGGGTTACTTGTATGTGGTTGTTGCTTCAACTTGCTTTCAACACAAACTGAGCAAGGAGGGGAGGGGGAAGGAGGGAGGGGGGGAAGGGTAAAGGGGAGACCGTCAAGGATTTTAGTGAGGATGGATCGGCGAAGGGTGGCAAAGTTGGGATGGCCGAGGCGATGGTGGAGGAGAATGGTGGGGTGTGTGAGATCACGACAGTGACAGGGGGAGGGTGGGTTAGATGCGGGGGGAGGGGGAGGGGGAGGGGGAGGGGGAGGGGGGGGGGGAGTTTGAGAGGAGGGGAAGGGGCGGGGGGATGGGGTGTGGAGAGTTGGTGAAGGGTGGGACGGGGGATGCGGAAGGTGTACATGTGGGTGGAGGGGCACCGATGGATACGGCAGAGGAAGCGACCGAAGGAGGTGTGAAATAAGTTGCAATATGCTTTGTGACCAAAGGAATATGGCGGTGACACCTGAGTCAGAGAGGGCACCAAGGGATACCAAGTTGTTCCGAAGGGAGGGGATATAGAGACCTGTGACAGTACCTGAGGGAAAGAGGGGACAGGGGAGTGTGGAGATGTAACGGCTTTGTATCGCAAAGCTGGAGTCAGCCCCAAGTATTGTGGAGGGGGTGGAGAAGGGGAGGAGCGTGCCTGCGTCACGAAGGACCGTGTGCGTGGCTCCGCTATCAAGGATGAACTCAAGGGGCTTTGAGGAGGAGGGGGACTCGGAGTACTGGAAGGAGGACTCATTAATAGCATTGGCATACATAGGATCATTGCAAGAGCTAGCAGTGGTGACATGACCTATGAAACGGTGTGAAGCCGGGGGGGTGAGAGGGGGAGGTGGGTAGTTCAGCAGGTGCAGCAGTTGCAGCTGTCCCATGGCCATACAGAGATGGGGGGTAGGGAGGGTAGGGCCAGCCAGCGTAAGGAGGAGGATAAGGGGAGAGAGGAGGATAGGGGGAGGGAGGGGTTTGAGGTGCGAGGGTGGGTGTGGTGAGGGTGGGAGGCGTTGGGGTGGTGGTGGGTGTGGGGAGGAGGTGTTGGACTTGCCGGAGGACGTGAGGAGAGAGGTGTTGGGCGAGGACATTATGGAGGTTGGGGGGAGATGGTGCATAGGCGGGGAGGGTGCGAATGTCATAAGGGGTGGGGCGAGGGGTGATGGTGCTCCAGCGTGGAGGAGGGCCCGTGTTGCCGCGTGCAAGTCATTCGTCGGTGAGAGCTTTGAAGCACGTATTAGTGGGATGGGTGGTCTGGTTGCAGGTCTGATCTTTGTTAGAGCCTTGGCGAATGACATACTGGCACGGAGGGAGCCCACCCGTGGTTGAAGTGGTTGCCCCACGCCCGCCACGTTTCCCAGTGCGCCCTCCTCGTCCACCTCCGCGACCGCCTCCTCTTCCACCACCGCCCGAGCCACGTCCTGGTCCGCCCCCGCTGCTTCCGCCGGTGTTTGTTCCTTTGCGCGCATGAACGGCATTGATGGAGCCAGATTCACGCAGAAGGTCAGCCTCACTGTCAAGGAGCCAATCGATGGTAACAGCCACAGGAGGAGGACGGATGTGCTAGGAAAATTGATGCGGTAAGTGTCGTAGGTGGGTGGGAGGCAATCAAGGATGCGTGCTGTGAGGAGGGTGTCAGAGATCAAGATGCCACGATCATTGAGACGTTGTGCAGTGTCCGTGAGGCGCCGAGCGAAGGAAGCAGCGTTGAGGGAGGAGTCCAGTGTGATGTCTTGGAAGGTGCGAAAGAGGGAGAGGAGGGAACGTCTGAGAAGATGATAGTAAGTGCATGGCGGTCAGCAATGCGCCATGCAGCTGTATCGGAGTGGTGCTTACGGAGCTTAGCGGAGTACTCTTCGGAGGCGGCTTTGAATTCTGCAAGTTTTGCAGTGGCAGCTTCGTGATCGGCGATGGCAGCTGCGTGTGTTCTGCTTTTGATGACATAGTCGTCCCGCTCCTTGTTGTATTTGTTGAGCGTGCGAGCCCACCTGCCCGGATCATCCTCCCAAGCCCCTAGGATAGGGGCTTGGGGGGCAGGTTCGGTCGGGAGTGGTGGGGCGTCGGGGGGAGGAGGAGCCTGGGAGTGGGGGCGGAGTGGGGGGGAGGTCATTAGGTGTTTCGAGGACAACGTCTAGGAGGCAGTAATCTCCCACTCGAACGGAGCCCAGGTACGTGAAGAGGCTCTCTTCAAAAGACACCCAATTGACGGCGGTGGTGCCGTTGAGGAGCTCGAGCTTGTCGATGGAGGCAAGCTCGAGCGAGGTTGATTCGTCGGCCATGAGAGGAGGAGGAGGGAGGGAGGGGAGGTGGACGACACCGTCTTGAGGGACAGAACGGTCCGGCTGCTCCACGGGCGGTAGCAGCAAACCCTAATTCAGGGTCCGTCGCGGCTGGTGGGCGTCTCCGCGGCGTCCGCAGCTGGTGGGCGTCTCCGCGGCGTCTGCAGCTGGTGGGTGTCTCCGCGGCGTCCGCGGCTGACGGCCGCGTTCGTCGCGTCCGCGGCTGACGGCCGCATTCGTCGCGTCAGCGGCTGACGGCCGCGTTCGTCACGTCCGCGGCTGACGGCCGCGTTCATCGCGTCCGTGACTGACGGTCGCGTTCGTCGCGTCCGCGGCTGACGGTCGCGTTCGTCGCGTCCGCGGCTGATGGGCGCGTTCGTCGCGTCCATGGCTGACGGTCGCGTTCGTCGCGGCGGGCGGACATGGTGAGGAGAGGGGCGCCGAGATGGCGCGAGGGGCACGGCAGAGTTGGCGGGAGGTGCGCTGAGCGGCGCGAGGGGCACGGCTGAGCCGGCGGGAGGTGCGCTAAGTGGCGCAAGGGGCACGGCAGAGCCTGCGGGAGGTGCGCTGAGCGGCGTGAGGGGCACGGCTGAGCCGGCGGGAGGTGCGCTAAGTGGCGCAAGGGGCACGGCAGAGCCGGCGGGAGGTAGAGTATGGTCCTAGGATCTTGAGTGGCGTTAGCCGTAAGAGCTCTGATTACATGTGAGAATTGAACCGATGAGTTGATTAGGAATGATGAGGGCTTACATAGTTGGAGCTAAGGAAAAGGGGGGTGATTGGTACCTAGCCAACATTATTGGCCCCCACCAATAAGTTGGGTTGGAGAATTATTGGGGGATCCCAATAATGTTGGTCAAAGTGGGCCAACATTATTGGGGGGGCCAATAATCCTCCAACCCAACCTTGGGGTCCAATAATTGGGCCAAGGTTGGGTTCCAACCCCCACCTAGGGTTAACCCTAGGTGTGCACCCAAACATTGCTTGGGTGCCTATCTCTATCCTAGGGTTTATAGGATCAATGCAGGATACAGAAGAGTAGTATAATCTAACACCGATACAGGAGAGTGTTTAGAGTATGGACGGGAATAAGGGGTCGGGAAAAGAGGGAAAGCGAGGAGGAAGAAAGCAAGAAGCGATGGTGGCAAGGGAAGGAGCTGACCTGCAGAAGGGGCAGGGCGACGGCAGGGGGCAGCCTCTGGAGGTCGGACCTCCCCATGTGTGCCGCCACCATGGCTGCCACACACCGCTCACTCAACCCCGCTACACCATCGCCCCCAGCTGCAGTCACCACTCTCTCGCCCTCACTCTCACCCCCTGCTGCTCCCCCTTTCCCTCCCTTGTTAGTGCCTGCCTTCCCTCCACCTGACGCCTCCTCCCTCACCGCCGGCTTGTGCCTGGCCTTGGAGGGCGGGCGGGCAGCAGGGTGGGTCCACGCACCGCGGGGGAAGAGCAGCGAGAAGAGCAGCACCACCAGGGGCAGCAGCCCAGGCCCGCCTTCCCCCTCGCCCTCCCACTCCTCCCACCCCTCGCCCTCCCACTCCTCCCACCACTCGCCCTCCCACTCCTCCCACCACTCGCCCTCCCTTGCTCCCTGCTGTACACTCGCCTCTCTGCCTCTCCCCTCCCCATTGCCCAACTCCTCTTCCCCCACTTTCTCTGCCACCTGCCCTGCGCTGTCCAGCATGGGCTGGGCGGCAGCAGACAGCAAGGAGGGCGGCATCCACGCCAGCCAAGGGGCAGCATGCTTTGGACCGTACTGCACGGTGCGAGCCAACCAGGTGAAGACACATGGCACGACGGATGGCAGTGTGGGGTGGGGGGGCAGTGCGCGCTCTGACAGAATGGGGGGGAAGGAGCGTGCGAGGAGGGAGAGGGAGGGGTGGTGGCGCTGGTAGTGGTCGCACAAGTCATGCGCGCCCAGCACTGCTGCCAGCACCCACACCAGCGCTGCCAGACGGGGCAGCGAGCTGGGTGGATGGGGGGATGTGTTGGGGGATGGGGGAACAGGAGAAGGGAAAGGAAGGAGAGCAGGGTGGGTGGAGTGAGCGGAGAGTAGGAGGAGAGGGTGCGATAGTCAGATCAGAGATACTGCTGCAGCGATGGTCAGAGATACTGCTGCAGTGCTGGTGGCCATGCCATGGGGCCCACCAAGAAGCCCAACAGCATGGCAGCAGTGTCTCACACCCATTCACCCACCCACCCACCTGCGGCACAGGGCATCAAGGCGGCTCTCCTCATACACGCCGTGCAGCGCCCGCAGCAACTCCACCAACTCGCCCACCCCCACACCCTCCCCGCCCTCGCCCCACTCTCCCCCCACCTGCACGCCCTCCCCGTTCCCCCCTCTCTCACCTCCCCGCGCACTGCCCTCTGCAGCAGAGCTAGCAGCAGCAGGGCGAGGAGGCGCAGCATGCGCGGTGGTTGGGGGCGAGGGGAGGGGGAAGGGCATCCAGGGGGGGGCACCGGCGAGCAGCAGGTGGCGGTGGTGCTGGCTTTCTAGCACCTGCTCCCATGCTGACTGCTGCACCTCGTCTCCCCCCTCCCCACCTGCTGTTTCTTCCCTCCCCTCCCCCAACTCTACCTTGCTCTGCCTTACCCCCTTGTCCGCGCCTCCCTGTGCCCCCCTGCCTGCACTGCCCCTGTCACCCTCACCATCCACCTCCATTGCCTCCCCCCCTTGCTCAACCTCTCCCTCTGCGCCCTGCCTGCCAGTGCCACTGCGAGCACCATCCCCCACGAGCGCCGCTTCAATCCACTCCTCCACCACACACAGCAGTGTGTGCCACTCCTCCCCCTCCCCTCCCTCTGCACCATTAGCAGCGCCACCAGCTGCGCCCACCAGCGCACACAGCTTCACAAGCTCCACCCGCTGCCTGCCACCAGCCGCACCACTTCTCTCCACACTCCCGTCTGCCTTCTCCTCCCCCTTGTGCTGCAGCCGCCACAGGCGCGCGGCGAGCAGGGTGCAGCGCAGGTCGTGGGAGAGGCGGCGGGGGAAGGGGCTTGCACGAATGGCAGTGAGACACCTGGCAGGCAGGTAAGCTGCGACTGCTAGCTTGACTTGGAAGCGATGCTCCTAGTGGCCGGTGGAGTGGGGGTTAGGGACGAGGAGAGAGGACAGGATGTGGAGGGAGATTAACAGGTGAGGAGATGGGTGAGGAGGTGAGGAGGTGAGATGTGAAGAAAACGTCAGGAGATGAGGAGGAAATAGAGTGGAGGCGACGAAGAGAAGAGCGAGAGAGACTGGGGCGAGCGATTGGGAGTGTAAAGGGAGAGGGAGGAGGGGGCACCTGGTTGTTGGGGAGAACAATGGACACGCGGTCGCCCAGAGGGGCAGACAGGCGCAGGGGACACGTGGCGAGCTCTGATTGGTCCACGTGGATGCCGTGGTGTGCGAGGAAGGTGGTGCAGGGCGCCCGCCAGAGCAGCAGAGGGCCGTGCTGTTGGGGGGGAGGAATAGGTGAGGTGAGAGCAAAGAGTTGAGGTGACGGGATGAAAGGGGCACAGCCGTCCGTGAAAGAAGAAGGTCTAGGGGTGGGGAGCCGCGTTGTGCGGTGCCATGCATGCATTGCCATAAGGACGCATTGTTGCCCCTTGAGTAGCATTTGGCACGGTGCTACAGGGCACCGCTTGAGTAGCATTTGGCACGGTGCTACAGGGCACCGCTTGAGTAGCATTTGGCACGGTGCTACAGGGCACCGCTTGAGTAGCATTTGGCATGGTGCTACAGGGCAGCGCTTGAGTAGCATTTGGCACGGTGCTACAGGGCACCGCTTGAGTAGCATTTGGCACGGTGCTACTGGGAACCGCTTGAGTAGCATTTGGCACGGTGCTACAGGGCACCGCTTGAGTAGCATTTGGCACGGTGCTACAGGGCACCGCTTGAGTAGCATTTGGCACGGTGCTACAGGGCACCGCTTGAGTAGCATTTGGCACGGTGCTACAGGGCACCGCTTGAGTAGCATTTGGCACGGTGCTACAGGGCACCGCTTGAGTAGCATTTGGCACGGTGCTACAGGGCACCGCTTGAGTAGCATTTGGCACGGTGCTACAGGCACGGCTTGAGTAGCATTTGGCACGGTGCTACAGGGCACCGCTTGAGTAGCATTTGGCACGGTGCTACAGGGCACCGCTTGAGTAGCATTTGGCACGGTGCTACAGGGCAGCGCTTGAGTAGCATTTGGCACGGAGATACAGGGCACCGCTTGAGTAGCATTTGGCACGGTGCTACAGGGCACCGCTTGAGTAGCATTTGGCACGGTGCTACAGGGCAGCGCTTGAGTAGCATTTGGCACGGAGATACAGGGCACCGCTTGAGTAGCATTTGGCACGGTGCTACAGGGCACCGCTTCAGTAACATTTGGCACGGTGCTACAGGGCACCGCTTGAGTAGCATTTGGCACGGTGCTACAGGGCACCGCTTGAGTAGCATTTGGCACGGTGCTACAGGCCAGCACTTGAGTAGCATTTGGCACGGTGCTACAGGGCACCGCTTGAGTAGCATTTGGCACGGTGCTACAGGGCACCGCTTGAGTAGCACTTGGCACGGTGCTACAGGGCACCGCTTGAGTAGCATTTGGCACGGTGCTACAGGGCACCGCTTCAGTAACATTTGGCACGGTGCTACAGGGCACCGCTTGAGTAGCATTTGGCACGGTGCTACAGGGCACCGCTTGAGTAGCATTTGGCACGGTGCTACAGGCCAGCACTTGAGTAGCATTTGGCACGGTGCTACAGGGCACCGCTTGAGTAGCATTTGGCACGGTGCTACAGGGCACCGCTTGAGTAGCACTTGGCACGGTGCTACAGGGCACCGCTTGAGTAGCATTTGGCACGGTGCTACAGGGCACCGCTTGAGTAGCATTTGGCACGGTGCTACAGGGCACCGCTTGAGTAGCATTTGGCACGGTGCTACAGGGCACCGCTTGAGTAGCATTTGGCACGGTGCTACAGGGCACCGCTTGAGTAGCATTTGGCACGGTGCTACAGGGCAGCACTTGAGTAGCATTTGGCACGGTGTTACAGGGCACCGCTTGAGTAGCATTTGGCACGGTGCTACAGGGCACCGCTTGAGTAGCATTTGGCACGGTGCTACAGGGCACCGCTTGAGTAGCATTTGGCACGGTGCTACAGGGCAGCGCTTGAGTAGCATTTGGCACGGTGCTACAGGGCACCGCTTGAGTAGCATTTGGCACGGTGCTACTGGGAACCGCTTGAGTAGCATTTGGCACGGTGCTACAGGGCACCGCTTGAGTAGCATTTGGCACAGTGCTACAGGGCATCGCTTGAGTAGCATTTGGCACGGTGGTACAGGGCACCGCTTGAGTAGCATTTGGCACGGTGCTACAGGGCACCGCTTGAGTAGCATTTGGCACGGTGGTACAGGGCACCGCTTGAGTAGCATTTGGCACGGTGCTACAGGGCACCGCTTGAGTAGCATTTGGCACGGTGCTACAGGGCACCGCTTGAGTAGCATTTGGCACGGTGCTACAGGGCACCGCTTGAGTAGCATTTGGCACGGTGCTACAGGGCAGCGCTTGAGTAGCATTTGGCACGGTGCTACAGGGCACCGCTTGAGTAGCATTTGGCACGGTGCTACAGGCACGGCTTGAGTAGCATTTGGCACGGTGCTACAGGGCACCGCTTGAGTAGCATTTGGCACGGTGCTACAGGGCACCGCTTGAGTAGCATTTGGCACGGTGCTACAGGGCAGCGCTTGAGTAGCATTTGGCACGGAGATACAGGGCACCGCTTGAGTAGCATTTGGCACGGTGCTACAGGGCACCGCTTGAGTAGCATTTGGCACGGTGCTACAGGGCACCGCTTGAGTAGCATTTGGCACGGTGCTACAGGGCACCGCTTGAGTAGCATTTGGCACGGTGCTACAGGGCACCGCTTGAGTAGCATTTGGCACGGTGCTACAGGGCACCGCTTGAGTAGCATTTGGCACGGTGCTACAGGGCACCGCTTGAGTAGCATTTGGCATGGTGCTACAGGGCAGCGCTTGAGTAGCATTTGGCACGGTGCTACAGGGCACCGCTTGAGTAGCATTTGGCACGGTGCTACTGGGAACCGCTTGAGTAGCATTTGGCACGGTGCTACAGGGCACCGCTTGAGTAGCATTTGGCACGGTGCTACAGGCCAGCACTTGAGTAGCATTTGGCACGGTGCTACAGGGCACCGCTTGAGTAGCATTTGGCACGGTGCTACAGGGCACCGCTTGAGTAGCATTTGGCACGGTGCTACAGGGCAGCGCTTGAGTAGCATTTGGCACGGAGATACAGGGCACCGCTTGAGTAGCATTTGGCACGGTGCTACAGGGCACCGCTTGAGTAGCATTTGGCACGGTGCTACAGGGCAGCGCTTGAGTAGCATTTGGCACGGAGATACAGGGCACCGCTTGAGTAGCATTTGGCACGGTGCTACAGGGCACCGCTTCAGTAACATTTGGCACGGTGCTACAGGGCACCGCTTGAGTAGCATTTGGCACGGTGCTACAGGCACGGCTTGAGTAGCATTTGGCACGGTGCTACAGGGCACCGCTTGAGTAGCATTTGGCACGGTGCTACAGGGCACCGCTTGAGTAGCATTTGGCACGGTGCTACAGGGCAGCGCTTGAGTAGCATTTGGCACGGAGATACAGGGCACCGCTTGAGTAGCATTTGGCACGGTGCTACAGGGCACCGCTTGAGTAGCATTTGGCACGGTGCTACAGGGCACCGCTTGAGTAGCATTTGGCACGGTGCTACAGGGCACCGCTTGAGTAGCATTTGGCACGGTGCTACAGGGCACCGCTTGAGTAGCATTTGGCATGGTGCTACAGGGCAGCGCTTGAGTAGCATTTGGCACGGTGCTACAGGGCACCGCTTGAGTAGCATTTGGCACGGTGCTACTGGGAACCGCTTGAGTAGCATTTGGCACGGTGCTACAGGGCACCGCTTGAGTAGCATTTGGCACGGTGCTACAGGCCAGCACTTGAGTAGCATTTGGCACGGTGCTACAGGGCACCGCTTGAGTAGCATTTGGCACGGTGCTACAGGGCACCGCTTGAGTAGCATTTGGCACGGTGCTACAGGGCAGCGCTTGAGTAGCATTTGGCACGGAGATACAGGGCACCGCTTGAGTAGCATTTGGCACGGTGCTACAGGGCACCGCTTGAGTAGCATTTGGCACGGTGCTACAGGGCAGCGCTTGAGTAGCATTTGGCACGGAGATACAGGGCACCGCTTGAGTAGCATTTGGCACGGTGCTACAGGGCACCGCTTCAGTAACATTTGGCACGGTGCTACAGGGCACCGCTTGAGTAGCATTTGGCACGGTGCTACAGGGCACCGCTTGAGTAGCATTTGGCACGGTGCTACAGGCCAGCACTTGAGTAGCATTTGGCACGGTGCTACAGGGCACCGCTTGAGTAGCATTTGGCACGGTGCTACAGGGCACCGCTTGAGTAGCACTTGGCACGGTGCTACAGGGCACCGCTTGAGTAGCATTTGGCACGGTGCTACAGGGCACCGCTTCAGTAACATTTGGCACGGTGCTACAGGGCACCGCTTGAGTAGCATTTGGCACGGTGCTACAGGGCACCGCTTGAGTAGCATTTGGCACGGTGCTACAGGCCAGCACTTGAGTAGCATTTGGCACGGTGCTACAGGGCACCGCTTGAGTAGCATTTGGCACAGTGCTACAGGGCACCGCTTGAGTAGCACTTGGCACGGTGCTACAGGGCACCGCTTGAGTAGCATTTGGCACGGTGCTACAGGGCACCGCTTGAGTAGCATTTGGCACGGTGCTACAGGGCACCGCTTGAGTAGCATTTGGCACGGTGCTACAGGGCACCGCTTGAGTAGCATTTGGCACGGTGCTACAGGGCACCGCTTGAGTAGCATTTGGCACGGTGCTACAGGGCAGCACTTGAGTAGCATTTGGCACGGTGTTACAGGGCACCGCTTGAGTAGCATTTGGCACGGTGCTACAGGGCACCGCTTGAGTAGCATTTGGCACGGTGCTACAGGGCACCGCTTGAGTAGCATTTGGCACGGTGCTACAGGGCAGCGCTTGAGTAGCATTTGGCACGGTGCTACAGGGCACCGCTTGAGTAGCATTTGGCACGGTGCTACTGGGAACCGCTTGAGTAGCATTTGGCACGGTGCTACAGGGCACCGCTTGAGTAGCATTTGGCACAGTGCTACAGGGCATCGCTTGAGTAGCATTTGGCACGGTGGTACAGGGCACCGCTTGAGTAGCATTTGGCACGGTGCTACAGGGCACCGCTTGAGTAGCATTTGGCACGGTGGTACAGGGCACCGCTTGAGTAGCATTTGGCACGGTGCTACAGGGCACCGCTTGAGTAGCATTTGGCACGGTGCTACAGGGCACCGCTTGAGTAGCATTTGGCACGGTGCTACAGGGCACCGCTTGAGTAGCATTTGGCACGGTGCTACAGGGCAGCGCTTGAGTAGCATTTGGCACGGTGCTACAGGGCACCGCTTGAGTAGCATTTGGCACGGTGCTACAGGCACGGCTTGAGTAGCATTTGGCACGGTGCTACAGGGCACCGCTTGAGTAGCATTTGGCACGGTGCTACAGGGCACCGCTTGAGTAGCAT